GCCCTGAACATACAGCCTGCCAGGTTAAGAAAATAAACCAGCCTAGAAATCAATCAAAGACTTGGGTCCGAGTTAATGTACTGCTGCTCCTTCATGCCTCTGTGGTTTTGGACATGTCCCTTCCCCTGTGGGGTCTCAATTTTCTCATCTGTTCACTTCTGAAGTCTCAAAAGTCGTTTGTCAATAATGGCAATCTGTGACCACTTGAGTCCTTTTGGACTTATTGGGGGCTCCTTTCCAGGCTGAATCTAGATACTGGGCTGAATGAAACCTTTCTTGCTAAAGATGATTAATTCAGCACATATTTATTGAATGCTTATTACATGCTTAACACTACTAGGTGCCAAGGGTACAGTGGTGGAAAACGTAGACACATTCCCTATTTAGATGTGTGAGCTTGGACAAAAGTGAGTTAGCAGAAAATTACAGTGCATCATACTCCATATAGTAGTAAGGGTACCATAAAGGACACAAAAGGGCACCTCCATCAGACTTGAGTTAAGGAAGGCTTTCTAGAGTCCCCCTTGAAAGGTTAAGAGCTAGCCAGTTGAGGAAATAGAGAAAAGGGGAGGAGAAAGAGCACTCTAGGCAGGCAGAGCCCTGTAACTAAAACGTTCAGTCAAAAGAGAGTCGGCTTCCTTTGAGAAACAATGTTTTTAGAGCTGGAATAGATAGAAATCAAGTTCAGGTGGTAGTGAGAGAGGAGATTGCAGAAGTTGAGACCAGATCCTGAAGCAGTCTGTAAGTTGTGTTAAGGAGATAATTAGCATGGTGGTTAAGAATTTAGGACCTCATGGAGTTCTAATCTCATTTCTACCCTTCCTAGCTCACTGATCTTGAACGAGTCACTTAACCTCATTAATTCATAGGTTCCTCTTCTAAAAATGGGAATAATAGAGTTTGGTCTTTATTTTAAGAGCCTTGAGGAATCATCGAAGGGTTTTAAGCAGAGAGATCTAACATGATTTCTATTATAGGAAGCACTTTCTGGTTGCAGGGTGGGAAATATGTTGGGGGGTGAAAGTGGAAACTGGGAAACGAATTACGAAGTTGTTGCATCATTGAGGCTAGAAATTGTGTTCGGTCCAAATTTGAATATGTAATAACAGAAGAGGATGAGATAGTAGAGTCGTGTAGGATGAAGAATAGGCAGGATTTGGTGATTGGGTGTTGGAAATAAGAAAGAAGGAAGTGTCAGATGTTACCCAGGTTTGTGACCTAGGCGGCTGGGCGGTTGATGGTGCCATTCATGGAACCTAGAAAGGGGAGCAGATTTGGAGTGGATGGTTATGTTCAATTACAGACAAGTTGCAGATGCTTGGGTTCACCCAGAGAATGTCAGATAGGCGGTTAGATAAGAGTTGTGATAGAAGTCCCGGGAATGAGCTGGAACTCTGTGTTTTGTTTTGTTTTTTAAATTTTTTAATTGTTTATTTATTTTTTGAGAAAGACAGAGTGCAAGCTGGGGAGGGGTAAAGAGCAGGAGACACAGAATCCGAAGCAGGCTCCAGGCTCTGAGCTGTCAGCACAGAGCCCGACACGGGGCTCGAACTCACGAACCGCGAGATCATGACCTGAGCTGAAGTTGGATGCTCAACTGACTGAGCCACCCAGGCGCCCCTGGGACTCTGTTTTGATGGGTGGATGTGTGTGGGGGGCAGACAAGTTCTGAACTTAGAAGTAACCACACCATTTCTGTCCTTTTCCAGATACAGAGATTGACTGGAAGGCCTACATGGCCCAGGTGGAGGGCGTCATCAATGGCACCTATGACTATACCCAACTGCAGGGTGACACTGGACCTCTTGTGTGAGTGGGGATAGCAGGTTCAGTGAGGACATGAGGGGCCGACTGGATACCAGGCTGAATAGCCTGAACCAGACTCCTCTTTCAGGTACCCAGCTGGCTTTGTGTACATCTTTATGGGGCTGTATTACGCCACTGGCAGGGGCACTGACATCCGCATGGCCCAGCACATCTTTGCTGTGCTCTACCTGGCCACCTTGCTGCTTGTCTTCTTGATCTACCACCAGACCTGCAAGGTGAGTCCGTGCTACCAGGAACAGGCGGCCCCAGCTGGCTGTGCTGGGGAGTCGGGATGGCTCAGGGTTGGTGAGCTGACCTTGTTCTCCATTGTCTCACTTCTCAGGTACCTCCCTTCGTCTTTTTCTTCATGTGCTGTGCCTCTTACCGTGTCCACTCCATCTTTGTGCTGCGACTCTTCAATGACCCAGTGGCCATGGCGCTGCTCTTCCTCAGTATCAACCTCTTGCTGGCCCAGCGCTGGGGCTGGGGCTGCTGCTGTTTCAGGTCACCACCCCTTCCTTCTCCCCCCTCTCTTACTCTGTATTTCCATCATTTCCTCCCCCAGTTTTCTGCAGCGGAGGGAGTAAGGGAGTAACCAGACAATATATGGGTCAGTCAGGGTCCCACTAGACAAGTCTAGGATCTGTAGAAAGTCTCCGCCCCACCCCTCAAGAACATATACCCTGTTCCTAGCCTCTGTTCCCTCTAGACAGCATCTGTTGTTGGAGTTGTCCCTTGCACATTCTGAATACTGTAAATATGTATTTGCTGGCTCAGTCTGGTCATAGAGGCTTGATATCTGCTCCTTACCCTCAGTCTTCTCCCAGGCTGGTTTATCCTTTTTCCAGCAGTTTTAAGGGTGGACCCCATCCCAGAGCTTAGTGGCAGGGGAGGGGAGGAGTTGCTATGTGTGTGTGGGTGGGATACATGGCCTTGGAGCTGATCTCCACCCTTCCTCCCCCCTCCCTACCCTAGCCTGGCAGTCTCTGTGAAGATGAACGTGCTACTCTTCGCCCCTGGGTTACTATTTCTTCTCCTCATGCAATTTGGCTTCCGTGGAGCCCTCCCCAAGCTGGGCATCTGTGCTGTCCTTCAGGTACCCCTTCCACCCCTTCCGCTTTCTAATGAAGAGGAGGCCATTCTCTGGCCTTCTTCCATCGTTGAGACTTCCTCAGAGCTAACAGACAGGGTTTTGGAGTTGATTTTGGACTAGGCAACCGTCACCTCTGGGCTTTACTTTTATTAGCTATAAAATAAGGGTGTTGAACTATATGGTTTCTGAGGGTCTCTCTCATTCTGCCCATTTATGACTTGGTGAATCTAAATTTAAAGCACTGTTATTACCTGCCTTCTCAGCTTCTTTGGCCCCAGACTCTGGTCTCGATGAGGAGGCTGGCTTTCCTGCTATTCCTGGTGGGAATTTGAGAACCTCTGAGACCTACACCCTCTGTCCACTCCCCTTGGTGATTAGCATGAAGGCTGGACTTGAGCCTGGGCAGCTCTGCTGACATCACACATATCCTCAGGTTGTGCTGGGCCTGCCCTTCCTTCTGGAGAACCCCATTGGCTACCTGTCCCGCTCCTTTGACCTTGGCCGCCAGTTTCTCTTCCGCTGGACAGTAAACTGGCGCTTCCTGCCTGAGGCCCTCTTCTTGCATCGTGCCTTCCACCTGGCATTGTTGGCCGCCCACCTCACCCTGCTCTTGCTCTTTGCCCTTTGCAAGTGGCACAGGTGAGAAAGGGGAGCAGTGTCACGGGTCAGGTTGGGGCAAGGAGTATAGGACCTGCTTGGGGGAGACGTGAAGTTCATGGAGGGTGAATCTAGAGTTGGCCTAGGATGGGGGCTTGATAAATGTTTGAATGGCTTCTCCCCAGGACGGGGGAAAGTATCCTGTCGCTGTTGAAGGATCCCTCCAAAAGGAAGGTTCCACCACAGCCCCTCACACCCAATCATATCCTTTAAATCATGGGAAGGTAAGTCTTGCCCTCTCCAGGTACAGTTGGGGTCCTGATCTGTTAGCCCTGGTGCCTGGTGACCTGGGGGAGGGAAAGGAGGTGCCAGTAATAGCCGCAGGCCCTGTTCATGGAGGAGAGCACTTTACATATTTAAGTGTATTTTATTCTTAATCTTAAATATTATTTGATTTACCATTATGAGTACTCACTCTGCCTGGTGTGCTAAGAGATTTACATACATTCTAACATGTAAAGCTCACAAGAGACTCTGAAATAGGGAGGGTTTTGTTTGTTCGTTTTATTCTCATTTTAGAGATGACAAAATCAGGGCATTGAGGAGTTTAGGTAATTTACCTAGGTCACACAGCTTGTAAGTGATGGATTTAAACTCCCTGGGCCTTATGGCCCCGGTATTACTGTCTCCACATTAGATTGAGGCACAGGTCTGGAGAAGTTAAAAAATTCGTCCAGAAGTATGCATCTCGGAATGGCAGAGCCAGGGGGCTATCTGACCCCAAAACCTTTGCCCCTTTGCTTTGGAACCTCCCTCTCCCCTCCTCCCCTCCCCCCCCATCCCAATTCCTGCCCCTTCTGCTCCTGCCCTTGGCCTTGACCACTGCATACAGATCATCTCTACCCTCTTCACCTCCAACTTCATTGGCATCTGCTTCAGCCGCTCCCTCCACTACCAGTTCTACGTCTGGTATTTCCACACACTGCCCTACCTCCTGTGGGCCACGCCTGCACGCTGGCTTACACATCTGCTCAGGTACTGGCTGGGACACCCTGGGCGAGTGGGAAGGGCTAGGGAGTTCCTCGTCGCAAGGCTGACTGTGGAGAGTTGGGAGCGAGCTACGGGGCTGCAGGTCTAGAAACTGGGCAAAACCTGAGCTTTTTTCTCCTCTCCAGGTTGCTGGTGCTGGGCCTCATTGAGCTCTCCTGGAACACATATCCCTCCACATCCTGCAGCTCTGCCGCCCTGCACATATGCCATGCTGTCATCCTGCTGCAGCTCTGGCTGGGCCCCCAGCCGTTCCCCAGGAGCATCCAGCACAGCAAGAAAGCCCACTGAGATCCACTTCCCTTCCCCTCCAGTCCACTCTTAGGACCCTGGATGGGGATAGACTCTATGCCTTTCCCAATAAACCTTACCAAGCCCACTGCTGTGCAGCCTACATGGAGGTGCCTACACCAAGCCGTGAGGGGCATGCACACTGCAGATGAAGAACTCACTTGGGCAGTCTTAAGAGGCACTTTATTGCATAGGATTTGGGGACTGTGGCTCTCTACCCTTCCACCGCACTGCACAGAGCTCAGAGGGGAAGAGGCATGGGATGGGAGGAGTGGGAGAGAGCACAGGCAGGCACTTTCTGTGAGGGCAGGGGGGTTCTGGGAAGGGGATGAGAAGCAGTAGGGGTCAGGTGGATACCGGCCTGCCCCTCCCAGTACCGAGAAGCCGGCCCCGGTGGCAGTGACTTGAGTGTGTTGGGCAGCGCCAGCCAGAGCAGTGGGCAGCCCTCACATGTTTGCGGGGCTGTAGCACAGCAGGTGTAGCTGCAGGTTCTGGTCCCAGTGGCGCAGCAGCAGGAAGAGACCCCGGGCTGCAGCTTTGAGGGCAGCTAGGTCAAGGCCATCAGGTAGGTGCTGGGCCCGTAGCCAACAGTCAGCTTTAGCTGCTGCCAGTTCCCACTCGCCGAAGGCAGCAGCGCAGCGGTGCTCCAGCCAGGCGAGCGCCACGGCGGTGGCCCAGGTCCGGCCCCGCAGGTCCGCACCTCCGGGCCCTTCTGCGCCCTCTGAGGCCTCAGTGTCTGAACCCCGTCCGCTGTCCACCTGGCCTGGACCCTCAGAGCCTGAGCTGGGGGACGGGCTGCAGGAGGCCGTGGCACTGTCACCCTGGCCAACACCAGGCCCCAGAAGTGCCCAGGGAGAGGAGGCCGAGGTGGGGCTGAGGCTGGCGCGGTGCGCAGCAAAGGGCGAAGCGCGGCACAGGCGCTCCCGAGGGATGTGTACTGCTGCACAGAAGGGTGCGTCTAGGCGGAAGGAGCCAGGTGCCTCCTGCAGCCGCACCTGAGGAGAGAGGAGGTGGGGGGAGAAGTGAGCTGAGACAGTGCCCTGGCCCTGGCAGCACCACCCTCCACCTCCCGAGTCCTCACCAAGGGCAAGTAGTCGTGGTCGCTGCCTTTACTGTTGCTGTCGCCAGCCTGGCCCCGGTTGGTGCTGCAGAGTCTGTGGCTGTCAGAGCCTCTGGCCCTCCCACCGCCCAGGCTGAGCCTAGAGGGAGGCTGGGGGGGCAGGCGATGAGGACTTCTGGTGACTGACTTGGAGTTGCCATTTTGGTCTGGGTTCCAGCCACCTACCACAGAGCCTCCCTGAAGTCCTGCAATGGAGCCGGTCAGTGCCAGTGGTAGTCCCTAAGCCTCGTAGCTCCCTGCCCTTGCCCCAACTTTGAGTGTTACCTTTAGCGTGGACAGCTGTAGGCAGAGGAGTTGCATCTAGTTGGCCTTGAGAGGCAGAAGTGCTTGGGGGCTCAGCTAGCTCTGTAAGGGCACAGGAGATGGGGGTAAACCAGGAGGGGGGCCAGCGAAGTGAGGGCCAGCACCTGAGAGGTCACCCAGGAGGGACTCTACCTGAGCTCCGCACCTGCAGGGCTGAGGGTAGGACCTCCCTGGTGGTAGCATCCACAGCTACGGGGCAGGTGAAGCAGGAAGGGGCAGAGCTGACCTTGCTCGTCTGAAGGGCTCGGAGCCAGGACCTCCGGGCATGGCCTGTGAAAGCAAGGAGGTGGATGCTGAACGGGAGCAGCTGCACTTCCCCCAGCCCCCTCCTACAGGGGGCTTTAGAGAAAAATCCCAGTGTTTCCCCATTGCTTCTCCCTCTGTCCACTTTTGAACAGAGTAGAGTTCCTTCTTGGGGCCAGGTCAGACTCCCCAACTTTGGCAAGTGGTTAGGCTGAACCCTCAGCTCCTAGCAGGACTGGACCCTCCAGCCACCCAGAAATTGAACATTCTGTACAGCACCCAAAGGAAGTACTGACTGTGGTGCCTTTCCTGTCCACTCATTCAGCACTGCCCAATAGAACTTCCTGCAGTGAAGGTAGGGTTCTAGATCTGCGTGATCCAGTATGGCAGCCACTAGTCACATGAGAGTGTTAAGCACTTGAAGTGTGGCTAGTGCAACTGAAAAACTGAAATTTTAACTATTTGATGTTAATATTCTTCCTGAATGGCAGATTTGTTTTTATGTTATGGGCACTGTGAGTCATTAACAAGATCACATTTCGCTCTGTGCTGGCTGCTAGGAAGCTTGCCAATTTGGGGACCCATGCTCACAAGGGCACAGAACGTCATCGAGTGCATCTTTAATATAATCTGATTCTCCACTTTCTTTTATTATTCCATTACCCTGTTTATTATTATTTTTGAGGTGAGTGGGCCACCTCAAATTGTGAACAAGACGAGGTATATAGTGACCAGACACATAGACCTATACCTCTGTCACTCGCTGCCCCATACAGGCTCCTTGGGTCCTGCCCAGGCCCACCAGCAACTCACCTTGGTCAGCCATGGCCTCAGCCCCTCCACGGAGAGCCAGCTGCTCATTGTCCCGGACCACGGAGGCTGCTGTCAGCCGATGGAGTGCTTGGTCCCAAGCACTTTCTCTTTGAGGGGGTGACGGAGGCAGTGAGCCATCACTAGGTCCCCATAGTGTCTCTAGCCCAACACCCACCTCCCAGCACATAGGCTGCTCCCCACACAGGGCTCGGATCACCACGTGGCAGCGTGGAGCCTGCGGAGGCAGTTCCACTGCTGGAGAGGCTGATTCCCCATTGTGGGGCATAGCTGTGAATAAGAAGGGGGGTTCCATCAGCATGTCCCAGTCCATGGGGGCCGGGGAGAGCAGATTTCCTGGAGAGAGACAGCAATGAAGGCAGGGGAGGGGTGGTACCCTCTGCCCTACTTCTCAGGACCTCCTTGGTGTCAGAACCCAGCTCCCCATCCAACCCTTACCTGAGTCATCCAGGCCCTGTCCCAGCTGCTGCCCTGACTCAGGGCCTGGCCCATCTGGTGCTATGCCCAGAGAGGGGTGGCAGGGACGGCCAGGGACTGGGTTCACCTGGCCTGGGGGAGATGAGAGGCTCCGGCCAGCCAGAGCTGCTCTGCGTCGACGACCCAGCACCTCAGCACTCAAGGCCCCAGGCTGCACATAAGAAGTGTGGTCCACTGGTCAAGGAATGCAGAGCTCCTGGCCATCACACATGCATGGCCACGTACCCCTTTGTCTGAAACTGTGGATGGCTGCTCGCCACCCTTAGGAGCAAGGCCAAACTCAAGGCCTCCGGCCCCCTTCCCAGTGCCATCTCACTCCATGCCTGATTTCTCACTTGAGGTTGTTGTTTGTCTCTGTTTTTGTTCATGTCTTCTTCCTCTTTGTCTGGCTAACTTCTACTTATTCTTCCAGACGTGACTCTTGCTTTCCTGACTCCCTCAAACAGTGTTAGCCATCTTGATTCTGACTCTCCCCATAATACTATGTCCCTGTGTTCACCACTGTATGTCACATGGCATCATTGTAGATTTACCCATGTATCTCTTCAGCTGGACTTAATAGTAACCACGGCACAATTTATGGCATATAGCAGATGGTCAATGAACGTTTGCTGGGTACATAGAATGGAGGTGGACTGACTCTCACCTTGACTGGAGCCATTGGGGGTAGAGGCAGGGGGCAGGAGTGGGAGCCTGCAGGTTCTCCCCAGGCCAGGCTGCGACAGCCCTGCTGAGAAGGGGGATGCAGGGGAGCAGTGCCCTCAGGGGAGCCAGGGCCCTGGGAACCAGGGGACTCGCTGCTGCCTGTGGAGCCTGGACCTGGCTCTGGGCTGGCAGAGCAGTGAGTGAGCACATACTGCTCCCGGATGTACGATGACTGGAAGATGCGGCGCCATATGGCTGTGTCAGTGGAGGGATTGGGTCCAGGGTCTGTGACTGGGTCTGTCAAAGCATCAGTACCTGCTGGGAGGCAAGAGAATGGATCCCGGCCGTGGCCCCTCCCATGGCCCACTCCTCCTCCAACACAGCCACACACTACACCCAGGTACTCACTCTGCTCTGAGTCCCCAGCAGCCCACGGGCTGGACAGCTCTGCTGACACAGTGCCCGTTCCTAACGGCTCCGAGGTGCCAGTGGGCTCAGTGCCAGGACTGGTGGCAGATGGTGCCTCCTCTGGGGATGGGAACACGGAGCCTCCCAAGCTCTGCCAGCCAGGTTCTTGGCCCTAGAGAGGGATAATCATTAGAGAAAAAACCGACTGTAGTTATATGCTACCTCTTTCCAAACAGGATTTAAGATGTCTCACCACAAAAGGCAATAAAGTTAATAAACCAGAAATGAAAGCCTAGTACTAAGAAAGGAAAAGCATACATGCTAACCATAAGGTTAATAGAGCTGCTGTGGCTGAGCTTCGGGCTTGGCCCTGAGCTTCCTGGCAGGCAGGCAAAAGGGCAAACACTCCATTATATCGCATCTTTAGTTCTTTTAGAGAAAGAAAGCTTTTCATAATAAAAATAACTATCATTTCAGGGTGCCTGGCTGGCTCAGTCAGTAGAGCATGTGACTCTTGATCTCAAGGCTGTGAGTTCAGCCCCACGTTGGGCATGGAGCCTACTTTAGAGAACCAGCAACAACAATCATTTCTTGAACTCCTGCTATGTGTCAAGTATCCTACCAAGAGTGTGCACGTTGTGACCTCTAATTACAACAACCCTATGACAAAAATCAGTATGACGAAATGGGCTCAGAGAGGTTAAGTGACTTGCCCAAAATCAAATGGTTAGAACACGCTAGAGGTGGGATCTGAGATTTCATCTAGACTATGCTCTGTTTCTGAATGTTACAGGAAATAATCCAGGTGGTTCTTTCCTTAGGGCACTGTGTGAAGAACCTAGAAAGTTTCAACCTTCACGGCAAATTCTAGAGCTGCTTTCCGTGGCTGTGTGCTTTAGTGACCTTTGGTAAAAGCCAAGGGCAACACTTTATGGGACAATTCAGTGGAAGACCTCATGAAGGGGGCAGACTACAGCCACTTTGGGGTGCCCGGTGTGATCTCTGGGGAAGCCGAGAGTGCAGTGGAAGAGCTTGGCAGGGAGAGGCACCAGGAGTGGAAGAACAGTTTTGAAGAGATGCGGGGACTTTAGATATCCCAGGTCTACCACCCGCACCCCAGCCCAGGCCTACCCCTGGGGCACGGGACCGGAAGCCATCCACCCTGAAGAGTGAGCAGTAACCGAGCAGCTGGTCCCCAGGGTAGAGTGCTGGGATCTCCCGGGGGGTCAGCAGTGCCTCCACCGCATCAGGCACAAACCAGTCCACAGAGATGTCACTCAAAGCAGGCTCCAGTGCCTTCCGGAGAGCCTGCACCAGCTGTAAGGAGTGGCCAGAAGGAAGACATGGGAGAGAGAGCTCACAGAGCAGGAGGCCCACAGAGCAGGAAGGTTACCCTTCCACTGATGCCATCTGCCCAGTCCTTAGGCTGAGGGGAGCAGGGTCAGGCCGGGGTCAAGGGAAGGATTGGGGGTAGGAACAAGCAAGGGTTTGGTCTGTCTCCTGGCCTGAGCCATGCCCTGTGGATGAGGCAAGATTCGTTGAGGATATGGCTCAGTACCAGGACAAAACAGAATGAGATTTGGGGGGTGGTCAGAGGTCATGTCCCCCACACCTTTGGCCTCCTGCAGCATGCTATAGCATCACCAGCAGCTCCTCCCCTGATTGGCATCTCAAAGGAGGGGAGGAACTGGAATGGGGGAGGAGAAGTCCTGATCGAGGGTGCCAGGAGACCCCATGACTTGACTGGGTTCTGTTTCAGGCTCAGTGTAACTCAGGAGAAGGACTTCTAGGAGTAGGGAACAGGGCTCAGGCTCAAGCTCACCATGGGCTGCAGCCTCTCCCCAGGCCTTGGGAAGTAGGCCTGGCCCCTGCTGAGGGCAGACAGCCCCTGGAGCAGCTGGTGGCAGGCAGGCCCCAGCCCAAAGGAGAAGCACCTGATGAGGGAAGGGAAGCAGCTGTGACCTTCAGGAGCCCCTTGGGAGTGGGGGGTCAATCTTAGGCATCTAGTTCAGCCCACCCCATACCTGGCTGCCCCCCTGTGCCACCTCATGAGCTCCAGGGTTTGATGGGTAGCAGCGGCCACGGGCGAGGCAGCAGTCAGGAGGAAGAGCTGCCGAGGGCGGGCCTTGTGCTGGGGCTGCCCCATGGCCCAGTTCAGTGCAGCCAGCACATCTGGGGGACCACTCTCAGCCTGCAGGGTCTCAATGTTCTCACAGATCAGCTGCACAGTGTCCTGGAAAGAAAACGCATGCTTTGGGCTGCGCCAGGCTGATATACTCTCACTGGGCCCCAATCCCTGGACCGTACTCACATCACTGCAAGGCCGGCTCTCTGGGAAGAGGGGCCGCACCGACGTGCCAAACATGGCCAGGTTGATGAGCGTTTGTGGTGGCAGTGACTTCACAGCCAAAACAATGGCATCCTGGGGAGGGCCAGGGAGGACAGCATGAAACAGGTCCTGTGGGCAGTGGTAGGGATTCCAGATTGCCCACCTTTTCCATGCTGTGTGAAAATGAGGGGCTAGAAGTGGTGGTGTGGGAGAGGCCCTGCATGTCTGAGATTGACTATGAGGGAGACCTGGAGTGTGAGGGAGACTGAGTGTGTGAGAGACCCTGGTGGGGTATGGGAACCCTTGGTTTTGGGATTAGGTAACTTCATGTGCGAGAGAGGCTTTTGGAATCTGGGAGAGACACATGTACGTACAAGTAAGAGAGGGATGTGTGTGTGTGTGTGTGCACGCACGCGTGTATCTGTCTGTGAGAGGCTGCCCCCAGCCTACCTCACACCCACTGCCCCACCCAGCCCCCAGGCCCGCCCACACCCTGCCCCACAGGCCTTGTGCGCTATGCCGCTGCCATCCAGCAGGAAGAGAAGCTCCCGTGTGGCTGTGCCCAGGTTTCCAGGCTTAGAGCTCAGGTCCGGGCAGAAGCTCAGCACCAGCACGGGGTTTAACAGGATGTCCTTGTGGAAGCGTCGTTGCAGGAACCACACCTGATCATCCGAACCCCAAGTCATCCTGTGCCCTGGTGCAAACTCTTGCCTGGGCTTGCAGCAGGACCGAGCCCTCGGGCCTTTTTCTATCTAATACACTCAGAGGGAACACCTTTTTATAGTCATTCGAATAAAGGCGAGGGCAGAGGCAGGTGGCTGTCCTCTGCCTATCAGTCCTAGCTTCCATCCTTTGAGACACACCCCAGGGAGACTTGCGTGGGCCCTCCTAGGACAATACTCATCAGCCCTCTAGGATGCTGCCCTCTTAGCAGCTACTAAGAGGTCCTGCTAAAAGCCCCCCCCCCACCCCCACCCCCGCCACACACACACACAACTGCCCAACTGTTCCTCCTGCACAAATGCAGCCAGTAGTGAGAGGTCAGTGGCCAGGCCGGGACCCCATGCAGCCATACCTGCCGGTCCCCATCACTGTCCCTTCGCTGTAGCCTCTGGAAGTCCCGGCGGGCCCTCACCTGGGCCTCATATTCTGCTGAGTTCAGGCTGCCGGCCTCTAGCATCAGGTGTGGCTGGTGGGGCTCTAAGGAAAAAGGGATATAGTTGTCAGGAAAGTCCCTGTCTCTGGACCTCAATTGCTCGGTCCCACTGTCCCAGGAGGACCCTGCAAGTCCAGCACGTCCCTCACAGATGGCTCAATCCACCTGGCTTGGGAGCCAGAAATCTATACTTGAAAAATGGTATCCAAGTGGTCCTGAAGTAGGTCAGAGCTGGCCCACTGTGTGTCCCAGTCTCTCACCACTGGGGTGCAGCAGGATCTCCAATGACCGGTCACAGTGGTGGCCCTCTGCTAATGTGACACAGATGGTGGCTGCGGAGCTGGCATGAGGTGGGGCATCTGCCCGCAGAGCATGAGAAGGGCTCTCCAGGCCTGAGGGAGGGAGAGGCAGGGAGAGATGATCACCCCACCCCAAGCCAGTACTAATGCACAAACATCACCTTCCCAGACAACAGTGGTATGGGCAAGGATCATGACTGATTCAGCTCAGCTCTTAGCACCTAATCTAGAGGGCTGCATGGACAAGGGGAAGGATTTTGCCTGCTTTCATGAGCTGAGAGGTAGGTTCCCAGCTCTGTTTCTGGCTGATCAGTTATACAGCAGCCAGCTGATTTAGCATCCTCCCCCACCTCTTACACAAGAAAACTCCACTTCATCACTTGGACTGGTCTCAATTTAATCCCTTTCTTCCCACTGGTGAGTGGAGTGGGGTATAAATAAATGACACTGACGAACCTGGGGGGGGGGGGTGTTGTGTAGAAGTGTCCAGGGGATGCTCCTACCAAAACTGGAGGTTCCTAAGACTTAGGTCCTTGTTTTCTTTTTTTTTTTTTCCTGTGTTCCTCCCAGTCCTGAGCCCTGAATTATTATTTCCTAGTCAGCTATGCTAGGAGGGGCACCCACCTGCTAGCAGGCATGGCCCAGTGACCAGCATCTCGAAGGAGAAGGTGTACGGGGCAGGGCAGCGGGCAGGGCCTGAGAACACATCCGGAGGGGCCGCTGGCTCCTCCCAGGCCAGCCCTTCCTCCTGAGGGCTGCCCACCCCGAAGCAGCTGGTAGGGCTGGAAGGGAGCGCGAGGAGGGTCACGGGCCCACCACCAAGGCCCCTAGCCCCTCTGGATGAATGGCCCAGCCCTTCCCCACCCTGTCCATCCCCCAGGGCACCCTACCAAAGCCCCCTCACCCGCACTAGACCCAGAGAAGCCGAGGGAGGGACGAAGAGAATCACCATAGGCCCAACCTGTCGTCACAGAGCCCCGGAGGCCTGGGGGGCCCCGGTGGGCCTGGTGAGGCCAGTGGGGTGAGCACAGAGGGCAGAGCCACGTGCAGCACCCCATCAGGCCTTGAGGGCAACTCCCGGCTGCTGCGCAGGGTCACCGTCATGGTGCCGGCCGCGTTGATGAGGCCTGTGGGCAGCACCAGTGTGGACCGGGCCTGGGCCAGATCCAACACAAGATGACCTATGATGAGTGAGAAAAGGGGTCAGAAGGGGCTGGAAGCAGAAGAGATGGGGGAAATAGGAAATGGGAGCAGTCACTGAGTCAGGGGAGCCTAGGCAAGGGGGACTTCACAAAGTTAGAAGGACACGGGGCTAATGTGTTGGTGATGCAGAATGGAGGCATGAGCCAAATGATGGTCAAAGCAGAGGTAGGATGATAGCAGAAGGATCTGGCTGTCATCAGGAAAAGGAGTAGTGACATCACTGCTATTAGAGAGCTGAGGAGAAGGGACATGTCCACACCACCCCCAAGATCCTAGGGGATCCATACCCTCTGCCCTTATTCCCCTGCCTGTCTCTGCCCATTCAACCCTTGGGTATCATCTTCCTCAGGACCCTCCCTGTGGACTGACATGTCCCATAGCCTGGGACCCAGTCTGCTCACAAATCCCTTGCTCATGAACAGTCAGGGGCTCCCCACTGCCCACGAGGAGTGGCTTCAGAATTTTCTACCCAAGAGGCGTTCAGTGGCTGTAATCTGCTTGGAAGCTGGCTAGAGGACTTAAAGCTGTACTGGTATGCAAAGCACACCATTTTACATCGCCCCTAGGTTCATTTGGGGACTGGTGGAATCATGGGGGTCGCTGCTACTAAAGGAAAAATGGCCACGTGTATGCAGTGGCAGTCAAGGCCTCACATGGTCTGGCTCCAGGCTACCTTTATAGCCCTACTTGGCTTCGTCTCCCCACAATAATCATTTACACATTCTTTAGAGAAATGCCTGCAGAATAAATGAAGGGAAGAAAAAGATGGAAGGAAAGAAGACAGGGAGATAAGAAGGAAAAAAGTGGCTTCTATCCCAACTAGCTAAGGCTTGGGGACAGCCTGATACAGTGGAGAGAGCACAGGATCAGGTCTTGAGTGTGACTTCTAATTCTGCCCTTGGGTAACTCTTCTGTTTTAAGGAGCTTCCGTTTTCTCATCCATGAAATGGGGGTCATAATGTGTCTCAGAGACTGTGGTGAGAAATAAATGAGATAATGTAGGCATAGCATCTGACACATAAGAGGCTGTTGTATTATTTTCACACCTATAAAAGGAGGATAGAGAACAACAGTTGCATTACATACCTCTCTGGATTCAAATGAGGTGACCAGTGACTGGACTTTGTGAACTGTAAATTGCTATAAACACGAGGTGTTTTATTTAATTTACCATCACTGTGTACAATCTACTTCCAAACCTTTGCTTATACCATCGCCCCTACTGGAGTGCCTTTTCCCTCCTCTCCACTTCACCAGACATACTCTTCCTTTTGGTCACATGCTGGCTCCATTTCCTTCTGGAACATTCCTGGGGCCTCAGCCCACAGCTCACTCTGGCCTCTCACTGTCTGCTGGACCTACACCAACTCTCAACACCACTGGATTCTGCCTTTCTTACGGGGATGGCAAATCCCATGTGCAGGAATCAAATGAATGTCCAAATAAATAAATGAAAGGATGAAGTGCAAACCACAAAACCTAGCACAGGGATGGGCTTCCACTCCTTCACCCAGCAATCATTGAGCCTCCTTACGCCACATTCTGTGCGAGATGCTGGGGCTTAGAGATGTCCAAAGAAAGCCCAGTCCCAGGCTCGGGAGCTAATGCTCCAGCTCGGGAGACAGACGTGTGGGCCCCCTGCTGCGTCTGTCTCCCAGGCCGCGAACCTCGCGTCAGGCCTGGGTCACATTGCCCCTGGACCTGGTGCAAGTAAGGTGCCTAGTCCACGACTGTTGAATAAAGCCATGAATCAATGAATGAAAAAATCAGCAGCTGGAGGGGGAGCGGGGAGGGACGGGACGCAGAGCGGGTGCAGGAATCAGAGCGGGGCTGACTTTCGGGGCGAGGCGACGGCGCCCTGCACTCACCCTGCGCGCAGCGGCGGGGCGTGGAGGCCCCCAACCCGGGGCCCAGCGCGCGGCAGCAAGCGGCCTGTGAGCGTCGCCTGCTCTGCAGCTGGAACGAGACGCGCCGTCCCGCCGCCTCCGCCTCGAAGCCCGAGACCACTTCGGCCTCCGCCAACGGGTACACAAACACGCCTGCGGCGGGGGCAGGGGGCACAGGTGACGTCGGACCTCGCCCGGCCCCCCTGTCCCCGCCACCCCGAGCCCCGCCCAGGCCTCACCGTCCACCGGCTGCGGCTGCGGGTTGTGGTAGGTGAGCCGGGCCCGCAGGCTGAGACAGGGGCCATTGGCGCAGGCCCGGACCCAGGAGTCAGTCAGGGGCAGCGGCGTCCAGCTGGAGGGGCAGTACAGGCCGGGCATGGCGCCCCTGGGGGAGGGGGCTCGATGAAGGGGTCCGCAGGGTGGGGTCACGGGCGCCAGACCCCGCCCTCCTGAAAGCCGCCGGGAAAATCGAACTCAGGCGCTGGGACGCCGGGCAGCGAGGAGCGCGGCGGGGCTGAGCCGGGGGCTCCCGCCCGGCGGACAGGTGGCGAGGGGAGGGAAGAGGGGGATCGCGTGATGGGCATCCTCGCGGGTTACCTGGGAAGCCGGGGCGGAGCGCGGCTCCGGGAGCCGGGAAGCGGAGGGTTAATGATTAACTGGCGCTCCAAGCGCCCAGCACTCCCGCCGCCGGCTCCTCCGGGGACGGAGGGTAGGAATGGGGGAGGGGGTCACAGCTGTTCCACCACCCGCTCCCAGGCCTCGCCGCCGCCCCCGTACCTGCCGGCCCCCCGGGGCTCCCCGCGGCTGCCAGCTGTCGGAAGTGGCGCGGGTGGCGAGATAGAAGCAGCTCTGGGTGAGGAGCAAGGGTTTAAAGGGCCAGCATCCTCCCGGGTGTCCCCAGCCCAGCGAGGGACAGCAGGGGCGGGGTGGGAGGGGGAGCAGAAGGACCGTAGTCTTTCCCTCTCCAGCGCCTCACCTGACCGGAGCGCTGAGAGGGGCTGCAGGCCGGAGTGGAGGGGGTTGGGTGGGAAGAACGAGACAGGGAAGCGACAGGAGGGGGTCTTTAGGATGCAAGACCGGGAGAGGTGTCCGGGCAGGGGGATTGCTCGGAATCCGTCTAGGGCACCCACCTCTCCCCACCCTGGCAGAACTGATGCTAGAGTGGGCGGCCCCACAGCCGAGCTGTCGGGATGCGGCAGGCAGGGTCTAGGGGTCGTCCCCCTCCCCGCGGGCAGCCCCAGCCTCACGGTCGCGTCCTCTGCGGAGTTCTGGGCGCCACAACTGGACCACGGTGGGTAGGTCCGCCTCCGCGCTTCGGGCCGCACGCAGTCCAGGCACCCTGCGCGGCACCCGCTCCAGACTCCCGCTGCGGCCGATCTGAGTCCGCGCAGGGGCGTCGGCTCTGCGGGTGCTGGTCCCGCCCCCGCTCGGGAAGGCCGCCCCTTCAGCCCGCCCCGGCCCCGCCTGCCGCTGCGGCGGGGCTGCTGCTGGCCCCTCCGCCCCCGCTTCGGGCGCGGTGCCGCCTCCGCGCAAACCCCGGCCGCTCCAGCTAGACCGGGCACCGCAGTGCGGGGACCGCGTCCCCGCCGCCGCACAGGCCCCGGTAGATGAGGGCCTCAGGCCTACAAGGCCCCACCCTTTCTGTCCTTCAGGAAGTGAAACGTTCTGCAAGTGCAGCAGAGGGCTCAGTCTGCACCCCCACCCCCAGCACTGCAGCGACCCCAGCTATTCCAGTATCACCCCACTTCCCGCCCTGGCTAGGCTTTTCGTCAGTGCAGTGACCGTCTCTCATCACTGCAGCGAACCCAGTGCTTCATCACTGCAGGGGGCCGCCCCCCGCCCCCCAAAGCCAGCCTTTTTTCTTTGCAAAGTGCTCTTTCATCTGTGCAGAAATCTGCCCCCATCCCTGCAGCTATCTTCTGCTTGCCTGATCACTTCAGTGACCACTCACTCCAAGTAGGGGTCCCCCAACACTGCAGCGAGTTCCGCCCACCCCCAAGCAGCCAATATTCCCATCGCTGCAGTACTATCTTTCCCACCTTTCCTGCGGATGCGGAGAGTAGGCAACATCAGCCCCTCAGGCTTATAACTTCCTACTACCTTCAGCTGCCCACAGTCTTGGAAATGAGGCCTTCCAGCCTGTAGGGGCTTCCCTTTGCTTGAGACTGCCCCATCGTAACAGTGACTCCCCTCACCCCACCCCCATCACTGCAGCACCTGCAGGAGAAAATATTCCTGAGTATAAACAGGTCCCTTGTTATTGGCAGAACTTTCATGCGGCTTGACAGTGTTATGGTGCAAAAGATTAGGGAAGTCTGTAAAACCTCCCCCAGGATTCCTGAGGGAGAGTCTGGGAGCTCTGGGGACGTAATCATGTTTGGGAGTCACCCATGCAAACTTTCTTGCAGAGGTCACACTCAGACTCTGCAAAAAGAGCTTTGAGGAGAACTGGGGGTGGTGAGGGGGTGGAAGTGGGCTTTCAAGACAGACTTAGGGTTCTTGCCCCTCCCCATTTACTCCATCCTTCTGATTCCTGTCACTGTCATCATACTGACCCCACCCAGGAGGATCCCTTGCCTCCTTGAGCACTTGAGCCCTCAACCCCAACCCTTTCTCTTGCTCAAACCACTTAGTGTGGTAGAGATAGCTTGGCCTTTTCCCAGGGAACTTCAAGGGTGAAAATTCACAAGGACAATACAGGAAGCATAGACAAAATTGCAATGAAAGATCCAGCTTACAGGGAGCTCCAGCTGAGTCCCAAACTTGTTCCTTCCACACCATCTGAACTATAGTTCCATTGATTCCTCCCTTCCCTTCCCTGCTGAACCTGCCCCCTGACTCATTCTGAGTTAGGATCCCTCTTACAGGCTTAGGAGAGAAACAGTGGATGGTGAGTGGGCTGATTTTCCCTCCAGGGGACCCAGGTCTCCAGCCAGGACCAGCCTGGCCCTGAGGTCTCCATGGAAATCCAGGCAGTGGCCACCTCCCCATTGGTGTTTTTGTGCAAATGGACCAAGAGCTACATGTGATCTGCAGGCCAAACATGAAGCTGCAGAGAGTAGTCATTAGGGAGACTTAAATATACAAAAAAAGGAAAAAGAGGTCCTTGTTTTAGGTTCTGAGGAGGTCTTAGATGTAAGACAGTCTCCCAGGAAGTGGTCCCTGTCAAAGATTAGACAACACATTGGTGGAAGACAAGCTTTGCTGAGAAGCTGGACCAGCCCTGAGATCCTGCTGGAAAGCTGTCTTAGTTGAGGCAAGCTCATCAAGAAGGCAAGAGGGGTAAAGCATCCTGCAGGACAGGGCAGGACATTGAAGGCTGCCGGGAATCCCTGAGGAGGCGGATCTGTAGGGGTAGTAAGAGGGTCTCTGAGGCCCAGCTGGGAGGTGCTTTGGTAGTGGGGCTGCAGTATGACAGGCAGCTGAGGACAGGAAAGGACAGCACATTCCTGGAGGGCCCCAGAACCAGGTTCCAGGAGGTGGAGGAGGTCCTTGGCAGAGCTAAGGAATGGCACAGAGCTTGAGTGGTCTGCCATGTGCAAGGCATAGGGGAAGGAGTAGTGGAAAGAGAACTAAAAAGGCATAGCCTCTGCCTTGAAAGGCTCCCACTTAGTGAAAAAGGCAAATACACAGTTACCGTAGATTAAGATGAGTGCTGCGTTAGAGAGATGTCCTGGATATTGTAAAGCTTTTGACAAGAAGCTTTTAGGAGAGGCACCTAACTTGGTGGTGGTGGTGGGTGGGTTGCCATTTAAGTCAAGTCCTAAGCAGGAGTTAAGCAGTGAAGGAGAAAATATTTCAGGCGGAGGAATCAGCTCATTGAAAGGTGAAAGAGCCATGGGGTGCAAGGGTGGCTCAGTCAGTTAAGCATCCTACTTCAGCTCAGGTCATGATTTCATGGTTCCTGGGTTTGAGCCCCACATCGGTCTCTGTGCTGGCAGCTCAGAGCCTGGAGCCTGCTTCGGATTCTGTGTCTCCCTCTCTCTCTGCCTCTCCCTGGCTTCTCTCTCTCTCTCTCTCTCTCTCAAAAATGAATAAACGTTAAAAAAAAATTAAAAGGTGAAAGAGCCAGAGGGACTAAGTATAAATAGGTAAGTAATTGTTTTTTCTCTTAGTTAAGATTCATCAGTCACTTACGGTAGGCCATGCACTGCACTGAGCATGGGTTCCCTCCTTTAATGATCAAAACAGCCCAAGAGATAGGTATTATTGTTATCTTACAGATGAGAAATCCCAAGATGGGACAGGGTAAGTAACTTGCTCATCATAAGCTAGTAAAATGGTAGAGCCAGGTTGTTGAACTCAGATGGTCTGGTCTCAGAACCCTTGTTTTTAAACTACTACAATAGACAATATGGTTTTCTTGATGTTTATTTCTTGATTTATTTCTCTTTAATTTTCCCTAAATCTCTTTTTTCAGTTTTTTTTAATTGACACACAACATTGCGTTTGTTTTAGGTATATAACATAATGATTAGATATATATTGCAAAATGATTACCACACTGAGTTTAGTTAACACCCATTTAGATTCCCTATATCTCTTAATACCCTTCCTTTTGAAAAATACTCATCAGTCTTGGCTGAACTAAAAGAAAAAAAAGGGGGGGGGGAACCAGAAGAGAAAGGGTGTGTCCCAGTGTCATGGCAGGAAAGCCTAGTGCCAAGCCAGTGGGCAGAAGGGGGAGCTGGTGGGACCCAGGCAGGGAATGAGATGGGAAGGGGTAGTTGAAACTAGAGCCCATGTTCTCCTCACGAGCCTGTGAGAGCCCCTGGGAGTGACTCCCTCATCCTACCACAGGGCCTGGAACACAGCAGGTGCCCAATAAGTGTTGGCTGACTCAAGAGCAGTGATGATGTGAGGAAAACCACTGGCTGTTAGTCAAATTGACCCTATTTTTAAATCTGTGTGGGGCAGGAAGCCGGGCCATTGAGGTCCCTGCTCACCTTGGCCACCACCAAGCTGGCCTGCAGGGTGCTGTTTTTCCTCTGATCTGGCCTAAGAGGGAGGATTCAAACTCACCCTTCAGCTCAGGCTAACACTGCCCAGGTTGGAGCTGGAACATGTCAACAACTTTACCAAGGGTGGTGGTGATAGAAGGTGAGGACAGGGTGAACCCAAAGAGAAATGACCTCAGAAAATGACACTCAGCCAGGTCAACCTGTTGCAAAGCACAGCTCAGTTGTCTTCTGCTTGTGGGCTGCCTCCCTGCCCTTGGGGACAGTGGTCTTATTTCCCCAAGCCTCAGAAGCATCTACACTCTCAGATTCGAGCTCTGGAAGGGTTAGGTTTAGAGAAACAGAAGACTTTTGCCTCCTTTCTGTTGCAAGCTTGATTCCTCAAATTGCAGCCTCAATTTGAAGCCCAAACTAAAAGATGGCTTAGTTCACGAATTAATTCATCCATTTATTCACTCAATAAATATTTCTTGTTGCAGCCTACTATGTGCTAGAGCTGATGCTATAGCAGGAAACAAGATAGTGGTGGATCCCACCCCTCATGAAAGACATCAAACAAATTACACAATTAATCGTTAAACTTCTTACTTGGACATAACTTCAAAACTTGTACAAAAATTGCAATAGATTTTTTTTCCTGAACTGTTTGAAAATAGGTGTACACGCTGTGCTTCTTTACCCCTAAATACTCCAATGTGTCTGTAGAACAAGGACACTCTTCCATAACCACAGAATAGTTGTCAAATTCAGGAAACTCAACTTTGAAACAATGCTACTAAACTACAGCCATATCCCAATTTCATGGATTGTTGCAAAAATGTTCTTCATAGATATTCTCCACCCCTATCCAATCCAGGATCACACATTGCATTTAGTTGATCGTTCTGTTTATAGCCTTCTTTTTCAAAGATTAGTTTCCCTTTCTTATCGTTTTTTACAATACTGACTTGTTAAAAAGAGTACTAGTCAGTTGTTTTGTAGAATGTCCCTCAGTTTGGGTTTGTCTGTTGTTTTCTCGTGGTTAGATTCAGAGTATTTACTTTTTATTTATTATTTTACTTTTTAAAGTTTATTTATTTTGGGAAAGAGAGAGAGTGCAAGTGGGGGAGGGGCAGAGAGAGAGGGAGCGAGAGAATCCCAAGCAGGCTCTGCACTGTCAGTGCAGAGCCCGATGTGGAGCTTGAACTCACGAACTGTGAGAGCATGACCTGAGCCAAAATCAAGAGTCGGATGCTTAACCGACTGAGACACCCAGGCACTCCCAGAATATTTATTTTTGCCAGAAATACTACAAGGTGATGTGGTGCCCTTCTCACTATATCACATCAGGATGTGCATATCAGTTTAGCATAATACACTCTAGTTCCACCCATGTTGTTGCAAATGGCAACATTTCATTCTTTTTGATCATCGAGTAACATTCCATTATACGCACACACACACACACACACACACCACATCTTCTTTATCC